ATCAGAGCCTCAACCATTTCCTGATCCACACTCTATCAACCGTGGCATTCCCGTCGTCACAACCACCGAAACCCCTAACTCTTTAGATTCAGCTTCTTCCAGTTCGTCAACGGATGAAGATGCCGCAAACCCTAAAGCCAACTACGAGGACCAACAAGCTCGCGTGCTTCAGGCCTCGCTCCCTTACGTCGTTCGTTTATTTATCCTATTCCTCTTCTTTTCAATTCCGTCCTCGTTCTTCTATATTTTGATAATTCAGTTTTCCGAAACTCATATCCACGTGTTTGTTTCTTATCGTGTATATAAATTCCAAGGGTTTTTTCTGATTATAGCGACAAGCCAAAGTGATTTTGAAATTGTGGCTTTTCAGATAAAGTTGGGATGGACCGAAGCAGCTCTAATTGCTGGAGCTAGGGATGTTGGCCTTTCCCCTTCTATAGTCGGATCTTTGACCAGGAAGGAAGCTGCACTGGTCGAGGTGCATTTTCCTGTATTTTATTCTTATCACATCTCACTCATTTTCACTTTCCTTTTGTGTGTGGTATTTGTCATAGTTTTTCTCTTGTTAGTGATTGTTATTAGTATTTTCTGATTATTAGATTTGGAGTAGTGTAGTAGAGTGGTGATATCCTGTTTGATTGTTGTGACTATTTTGAGCAGTCGTTTCCTGTGATGATTGAAGTTAGAGGTGTTTGTTAAATCTTCGTTAGTCATTGATGCTTTTAGGTGTTTAAAAGATGACTACAGCTGCTCTTGCTGTTGTTATTCTATGTCAGGTAGAATGCAGGATGGTACTGTCTTCTGTTGCTTCATAATGTTTCATGTTATTACGATGGGATTTTTAATAATTCTTTCAGTACCCCAATCACATTTTGAGTTGATGTTATGCTGCTAACCATCTTCTCTAACGCAATAGGAGAAAAGTGTTCCTCGCCAAGAAGGCAAGAACAATTTAAAAGCAGAAAATTTAGGAGTTGAGTTTGCTGTCTCCTGTTGCCTAAGTGATTTAGAAAATAGTTGAAAAGCTCAAAATTCGTATTTTTCTCTGTTAATATTCAAGTGACTCTATTTTATTTTACTTGCTTTCTGAGGTATAACGTGTCCAAAAGCATAGTGAATGTTTCATAATCTGTTTAATAATAGTTGTATACACTGTGATTGTCGATAATGTAATAATGGAAGAAAATTGTTCTAGCTTTTCTGTTTTTTTTTTTTGTATGAAATAAGTGGCTCATAATAATTACTAAGTTTTATATCCCTTTTCCTCACTTACATTTTGTGCATGTGTCTGCACATATTCTCACTCGCATCCTATCATTTTAAGACTTGACCATTTTTGAGCCACTATTTCAAGAGTTGTAGATCGTGTTTATTAGTATTTTCTGGGTTGCTGTATTCAGTTATGAGTTCCTAATGGATGAATTCTCGCCAACTTTTTAATTATTTTTGGTTTGTTTTATTCAGATACTCCGGCTTGTTTATTATACTTGGTATAATTAAGTATAATAAGTTTAATGGGTTGCCACTATTAGTTTATAAGAAGTGACCATTTTTGTCTGCTGTTCTAAAACTTTTTTCAGTATTTCATGGATGACTGCTTACAAAGACTTGTCGATAAAATTGAGTCTGATGAGAGTTTAAAAAATTTGACACCAAGTGATTGCATCTCTAAGCTTATCAGATTTCGATTAGAAATGCAAGCTCCATATATATCAACATGGCCTCATGCTCTTAGCATTCAGGTAGCCTAGTCCTTTTTCCCTGGTTAGAGGCTTACAAATATGAAGTGTAGATCTGAAAGAGTTTCTGGGAAATATTTTCTTTACAGGCGCAACCTGCAAATGTTCCTACAAGTTTTAAGCAGAGAGCAGTTCTTGTGGATGAGATCTGGCATGCTGCGGGTGATAAGGCCTCTGACATTGATTGGTATGCCAAGCGCACTATCCTTGGAGGAATATACTCGACAACTGAGATTTATATGCTGACAGATAGCTCTCCTGGTTTGTTTTTCTTGACTTCCCTTTTAAAAAGACACAAGCATTCTTATAATTTGCCAATAGTGGTTTTCTATGATCATTCATTTGAGTCAACTTCTGGTTCTGTGATTGTAACAACCATTTGTTTTCTTGAATCAAGACTTCTGTTTTCTCGAATGAAGACTTCTGTTTTCTCGAATCAAGACTTTTGTTTTCTCGAATCAAGACTCCCCTGTTTGCTTCCATGACAATTTATGAGGATTAATTTGATAACTTAACTGTTAGAAAAAAAAAAAGAATTTTATCGCCGTTCCATTCATATTTTTTTTGGTGGCATCTGTACATTGAATAAATGGGGGTTGAGACCCTGCTTATAGCTTGATGTGGTAAAGCTGTGACGACTTTTCTCAATTTTGGGGTTCGTTTTCTGGTAGATTTCCGCGATACGTGGGCTTTCTTGGATGCTCGAGTGAAAGATGCCTTTAATATAAAGAAAACCATTCAAGAGGTAATCCTCATATTGTTACAGTGATTGGTCCATAAGTTTTTCAAATTTCAATTATTTCGAAATATTATGCTTGGTGAATTCCAGGATTCTCAGTCATCATAATTTTCAGGCACAGTCTTTGGCAGAAGCTGTCAGCGTCGGGCTGGGGAACTCCTTTCAAGGATTTTTCGGGAAAGGTTTCCAGAGATGAGTCATGGCGGGAAGATGTGCAGGTGGTAGGCACTTGTTCCTTGTTTCCTCAAACAATGTTTCTGAGGCATTGATTATATTTACACTAAACTTACCACTTAAAAAAAAGTTATATTTCATGTGCTTCAAATTTATATGCCGCCTTGGGCCCTTCACTCAAGGCTTGAGTTCCAGGGTCGTCACTGCTCACAAATTTTAGGCTTGTAAATAATCTCATCATTTCATAATTAAAGAATCTCCTTTCTCACCCAAAGAACTTTGCTTATTTCTGTGAGTGTTTTGGCTGATAAATAAAATTTCATGTTCAAGAATCATGAGTTCTGACTTAAATTTCGTCAGATTGTTTACCCGTTTCCTGAATAGAAGATTTCCATATTTGGGTTTAACGTAACTTTTTTTGTATATACACACGAGGAATATTTCAATTATATTGATATAACTTAATCTTATTATGATTATTTAAGTAAAATTTTATCAAGATTAATTAAATACTTTATATTTTTTAATATTTGAAAAATAATATATTGTACCAGTTTTAATTTATTTGCAAGATATATTAAATAGTTTTAAATTAGTTTAATTTATTAATAATTAAAAAAATATAATCTTTCTATTAAGTTACGTAAAATCTTATTATTAATATTTGATTGATCATATGAGGAAGATTTAAAAACTCAACTGGTAATCTTTCTATATTTTTCATTCATTATTTTATGCTTTAGTTATATGTAATGTTAATTTTTAGAATATGCTTTATTTAAGTGAAACCTGGATTGAATTAGATTATTTTTTTTATCTTATCGCGTTTTACTTATGATAAAATAGATTTTGGCCAAATTAACTGATTTATAAAATAATAATTATATTTAAAAATTAAAATATTGTAATAATAATAAAGTATTATATTAATTTTCTTAATTATTATAGCTTATATATTAAATTATTATATATAAAATTAAAGTTAGTTTCATTAATATGACTTAAATTTTAAATATTTTATTTTATTTTTATTTAAAAACATTTTTTACCATTTTAAAATGAAACAAAATGATCGTTCACAGCTAAATTGAATTTGAAAGTTTACAACTCATTTTAAATACGTATCAGATTAATTCTAAAAATAATAACTCCATTAGAATTAGAATATAAACCTGACCACCTTTTTTACCATATCTAGTTGTTGGTATCATTATTTCTTGGATGCCTTCTTAGTGTAGCAAATCAATGAGTATGAATATCACTCATAAAATCAAATTTAAAAAATAAAAATAAAACTCCTATTTTATTCAGTAACAATCAATCAATATATTTATAAGTTTAACTTTTGTTCATTTCTTATATAAACTTTATTCGGCAAAACTAGATTGTATATCAAGTAAAGGTTTATAAGACAAACTATTAAATTATAAGTATTCAATAGAGTTAGTTCTTGAAATAATTTATGAATGCAAAATAATATAAACAAAAATATTTGTATAACTTCTATGCAAAATAAAATATATTTTAAAATTATTATAGTTTTTTATTTTCCTATTAACCTATATTAGTATAAACTTGTTTAAACATTAAATATTTTATTAAAATTTAAGATAATAAAGTAAAAATAGAAAGAAAAAATATACATCAAACAATTTCAGTCGTATAAGTTATTATAAGTTATAACTAAATATCTATTGAAAGAGGCAGAAACATTTAGTGTCTGAGAATATCTTAAATAAAATTATCTTCAGAAGAAAAAAATTATTATACAGGCTATAATTATGCCACAACTAATCTTCCTGTAATCACTGTCTGAATTTATGAAAGATTAATAACGTGTAATTTAGAATTGGTCAACATCAGGTGATCGTATAGGACTTAGTAATTTGTTTTAAAAAAAGGAAGATTCAGATGAGACATAAGCTTGCATATCCAATCCAATAAATTTATAGGCTAGTTGAATATGTAAAAAACTACTTTATTTTAAGTTTAATAGTAATTTCGGTTCTTATATTTTACAAAGTATATAATTTTAGTTTCTAAGTTTTTACTTTATTTATAATGTTGGTTCTTGAATTTCTTTAAAAGCATTTCTTTTTTATTATCATAACTTATTTTACTTTTAGTTAACTGCCTATAATCTTTTTATTACTTTTAACATGATACTGTGAGATTGGAGAACACGACTGATACTAAAGACTTGAACCAATGTAACTCATTCTGATTCAATGTATTTTTAAAATTGAAAGTTAAATAAAGTTAAGATAACCAAAACNAATATGTAAAAAACTACTTTATTTTAAGTTTAATAGTAATTTCGGTTCTTATATTTTACAAAGTATATAATTTTAGTTTCTAAGTTTTTACTTTATTTATAATGTTGGTTCTTGAATTTCTTTAAAAGCATTTCTTTTTTATTATCATAACTTATTTTACTTTTAGTTAACTGCCTATAATCTTTTTATTACTTTTAACATGATACTGTGAGATTGGAGAACACGACTGATACTAAAGACTTGAACCAATGTAACTCATTCTGATTCAATGTATTTTTAAAATTGAAAGTTAAATAAAGTTAAGATAACCAAAACTTAAGGAATAAAAATTGCGTAGAAAGAAATCCAGAGACTAATAATTAAAAATTAAGCACTAAAATTTAAAATAAAATAATGACCAAAATTGCATATTCAGTCAATATAGAAGGTAAAATTACAATTAAATCTTTATTTTACATGTAAAACATTGTGTTAATTAGGTCACTTATTATGAAACCTTACTGATAATTCTTCTTCTAAAGATTTTGTGATGCATTTATGATTGTGAATAAGTGGATATTACAAAAGTTAAGAGAGTCTCAATTTGTCTAAGTCATATACTCTTAAAGGATTTATATATCAAAACACTTCTTACACTTCTAAAACTAATAAAGAAAAAGATAGGTATAGGATATATAAAGTTTTAAGTTTCATTTAGATTTTGAATGCACAGTTTAATTCAAATCTTACCATTTGTTTCTCCTAATGTATCCATCCATGACTTAAAATCTATATCGATATCAAATTTATTTTAACGAGATTGAAGATCCAAATTGGCATGAATATGCTTCGGTCTTAGTAATTATGTAATTATTGTAAAGAAGCATCTGAAAAAAAAACATATGCCTAAGTTTAACAGCTATAAGAAAAAGGACACTTAGACCAGGACAAATACTGTTCTGGAGCTATAAATGTCTGGATTTAGGAACAAACTTTGTTGGAGGAGGTTAATATCTCAAATAGCATAGAAGTTCAACATGGAATGTACGAAAAAGGTTGGAGGACGAATCGGGAAAATATCTATAACCTTGCTAGAAAAAGAATGACAAAAGAGGCATAAACCAATTTCTTGCTCGATGAGATAAACGCACCAACAACTCATATTTTCCTAGAGTTTGAAAACATAAAGGAACTTCCACTAGTATAATCTCTCATTTGAAAGAGAATGGAAATAGTTGCACAATCTGGAAACAAGAGGGATTGAAAAACCAGAATAGTTGATGATCAGAACACTAAATTCTCTTGCATGCATATACTACTACAGCCTAAAATCAAAAGGAAATTGAGAAAAACTGTAAGCAGAAGAAAGATTCAGAAAGGACGAACATAAGTTACCATTTCCAAATTATTCCCATGAAAGTGAGAATATATACATTCATATATATATATATATTCATAATTATTGGATTCTGAAAAGCAGTATAAAATACATATTACCAGAGACGGTATGAAAGAAAGTGAGAATGGCGCGGTGAGGGAGTCACTCGGGGAACGTGAGAGTGGTGATGAGAGGCTCGAAATGGGGGAAGCGAGCGAGGAGGTAAGAAGGTTTAGCGAGCTCGAAGTCCTGGTACTGAAACGCAGGTGCACAGGTGCATCCTACAAGAGAGTAGTTCCTCTCACCGTCTCTGGGAGGTGCAGCAGCAGTTTTGAAGACACCATCGGTGGAGAAGGAGTAATCGTTGGTGGGAAAGGAGCCAAACCAGACGTTGGGAGGGACCGTGTACTGCGGCATCTGATTCTCACCGAGATCCGATCCAAGGCAAGTGAACTTCACACTCCCATCTTTCTCATCCAATTCCACAATCTGGAGAAGGGTTAAAAGAATTTAATTAAAGTGAAAAATTGAATTGATATTAGGTTAAAGAGAGAGAGAAGCATGCGTACGGTGAGAGGGTCGCCGATGTAATGATGCCATGTTTCGGCGCAGGGTATGCGATGGAGGCGAGAAAAGGTTCCGGAGGGAAGGAGGAAGTAGATGGAGGTGGAGACAGGGCGATCGACTTTGTATTCCGGCGGGAGCTGAGAGGTGGAAAGATGAACGGAATGGTCTCGAAATGTTTCGATGTAGAAGCCACCTTCTGGGTGAGGCTGCAGATTCAGCTTCTTCGTTATCTCTGATGCCGTCAAACTCATTCTCCTTTCTCTGCCGATCCGATCAATGCCCTTCTCAATTCTCTCTATATTTCAAACACCTTATCTGCACAAAATTCAACATCAGAATTCAATTTTCAAACTTTGCGATCGCGTGCGTGGTTGGTGAGGAATGGGTTATCGCTCAATCTGTCTTCCAAAAGGTTTACTTCATTCTCACATTATTTTAGTTCTGTTGTTAGAAAATTCTAATTACTTGGACTAAATTGATTGAAAGTTTCCAAAAGAAAATTATTTTAATTTTACTTAATTAAGAGATAAAAACATATTTAATTCAATTTCTAAATATAACCACATTCTTGTAAAAGTGACTTTCGAATCATTAATTCAAGAACAAGCTTTCTGGAACAACAATGGCAGTGTCGGCGGCGACAACAATGGCAATGGTGGTATGGTGTAATGGTGAATAGTATTTGAGTATTTTCCTTTTATTGTGAAAATTTTTTATGGTGCTTTTCATCACCCAACTATAATTTACACTCTAAAACTTAAAATTCAAAACCCAAAATTTTAAAAGACCCGCAAGACCCAGAAAACGATTTCATGCATAAGAAAATTTAGAAGATGCGGGAATGGAAGAAAGGAGAAGAAAGAAGCTTACCATAAGCAAAAGAATGAGGTAGGTTTCACGCTTCCAATGAAAAAGAGTTTGGTTTGTTTGAAAGAAAGAGAAAAGAAGATTTTTAGTTGCACCCCTCTATACTAAGCACACGCCCTCACTGTCGTTATTTTTGTTTTATTGTTTTGTTTTGAGTCAATAATTAAATGTTTTGTTTACATGAATGAATTTGGGGAAGAGTCATTGAATAAATTTCAGAGAATTTGAAAAAAAATTTTGTTATTGTTTATTTGAGTGGATTTGGGATAAGTGAGAGTAAATTTGAAAATAAAATTTGTAAAAATTGATGTAAGATTTGATTGATGTGACAAATTAAAAAACTTTACTTCTAAATCTACTTTCACTTACCTCCAAATCCACTCAAATAAACAACAAAAAGTTCACCTTCAAATTTTCTCAAATCCAATCCATTTAATCACTTTCCCCCAAATTCATTCAAGTAAACAAAGTGTAGAGGTCGAATTCCTATTCAATAACGAATCGATTCAAGTGAACAAAGTGTAAAGACCGAATTTCTATTATGTGTCTCCGTCACATAAACAAATAAACCCCATAAACCATATAATTAAAGTTTAAACATAAATTATATTTAATTATAACTTTTTAATAAATTCACACACACTTATATACAATACAATAAATAAAAGAAACCAAGTACATAAAGCTTTAGTTTATGAAAATATGATTTTTAATTTCGTTTTCTTTGGCAAAAATATATTATAACAATATTTATCGATAAAAAACCATATAAAAATAGAATATTTGACATTTTGTACAATAATCTCATTCAGCTTTGCCGACGTGTTTCCTTGCTTTTCTCACATGGTATTTGAAAAACAAAGAAATTATCTTCAGCATTGGTTGACTTTGAAAACTCATGAGAAGTTGAACTCAGCTACTTCCCTGACAAAAACCAATTGCATTGGTTGAGTTGAGAAGGAGGAGGGTTGATTTCTCTATCAGTCATTATGGCGAATCACGGTGATTTCACGTATGATGTTTTTATGAGTTTCAAGGGCGAAAACGGGACTCGCTACTCATTCACCGATCATCTCTACCGAGCTTTGCTCCGTCACGGAATCAACGCCTTCAGAGACGAACAGAGTCTCCGAAGCGGGGACGAAATCCGTCCTTCTCTGTTTCAGGCAATCGAAGCTTCCAGAATCTCTTTGGTCGTGCTCTGTCAAAACTATGCATCTTCCTCTTGGTGCCTTGACGAACTGGCCAAGATCCTTCACTGTTACGAAAACAAAGGAAAGCATGTCGTTGCAATTTTTTATTTGGTGGAACCTTCCGATGTACGGTACCAGAAAAACAGTTACGCAACTGCCATGAGTAAACATGAAAACAGATATGGAAAAGACTCGAAGAAGGTTAAAGCATGGCGATCAGCTTTGTCCAGAGTTTGCGACCTAACCGGAATACACTACAGGAACCATATGTAAGTTCAGATCCTATACTGATCACGAACATACTAGCTCTTAGGCTTGAAAATTACTTGTTATAATTTTTCTGGATGTATTAAACAGTTTAAGTTTCTATTCGAACTTATAGAGATTAAAATGGAAAATTATGAGTAATAAAATGAATTTAAAAGCGTAATCACAGGACTAAAACAGGTAGATTTTATGCGTAAGTGCTGAAAGGTATTGATGATGTGTAGATGAAGCGACTAAATTGTTGGAAAAATCGTCACCCAAATAATAATATTCTTTAATTTATTGGAATTATTTTCCATTAAACCTTGACAACCTTTAAATAGATGCAAATAGAGTCTTGAACCAAATACAAATAATGAAAACTAATCATAGAATATCAACTAATTTAAAATAAAATCTACTTAATCTATTTCTATCTTATATCAATAAAATAAAATAATACTTTCCTAAATAAAAGGAAAATCAAAACTACCTAAACCAAAACTAATAAAATAAGATTTAAACAAAATTATTAATAAAACCCTAAAATTTAAGTTTATCCCAACAAACTTCCCCATAAACTTAAATTCTTTCTTCCTTCAGTCAGCTTTCAATGTGCATCATCCCACTCTGGGTTTGCATCTTTTCTCCAAGATTTTCAGCTCTAGTTCATACAACCGATTCTTTTTTGCTTTTACTTGGGTTGTTAGACGACCATGCTTATCCTTAGTACATGGTCCTTCATAAAAACTGAATTACCTTTTTCAATTATCTGACCCATGCTTAAAATATTGTTCTTAACATAATAAACATCCCTAATCTCTCCAACTCGTTCATTCTTCTACATATGTCGGATTGTTCCACTCCCTTTCACGGCCACCTTGGAGTCATCTCCGAAAGACATAAATTTGGCCTCCACCTTGGTGAGTGAGTTTATAAAAAAAAATTTCGTTTCCACACATATGATTGCTTGCCCTAGTATCTAGATACCATATCGAGTTAGTAGAAATCTCATCAGCCTTCATCTCTTCTTCATCTTTTTCTTCCCTAATTTTATGTGGTTCATGAACGCAATATGCTTTCTCTTCCTTTTCTAGAGTCACCTTCTTCAGCTCCTCAAGTTCAAACCTCTCTTCATCTAGAAGCCTCATTATCCGCTGAATCTCTTTATTTTTTGTTTGAGTTCTTTCTCTAGGCTTTTCTTCTCTACAATTGTTGCATCCTTTACCAAAATCACTTCATCCATTATTGGGATTGGGCCCTCCATGTCCACTACATCCGAGCTCTTTACCAGCAATAGTTCTTCTGCATCTTCAGTAACGAAATTAGTCTCCCCCTTTATCTCGGTCTTGCAATACTCTGCAATATGGCCAGCCTTGCCACAATTATAGCACTTGTTTGATCTACACTCATTTGCACAGTGGTCGTACTTGCCACACTTAAAACACTCCACTCTTGACCGATCTCCTCGGCCTCTCCCTTGTCCTCGGTCATGCCAATTCTGCTGACCGGTTTGCTCTTCATCATTCTCAAAATTACCTCTGCCACGCCCACCTCGTCCTCAGCTTCCTCGCCCTCTACCTCCAGGACCTCGGCTCTGAGTAATCCGAGTTTTATTCGAGTCAAACTGTACCTATAGTGTTTGGTCGTGGGGTTCAACCTGATCATCCCAACTCCTTTCCCTTTGTTCGTGGGCTTCTAATGACCCAACAAGTTCATCCATTGTGAGAACCGACAAGTCCTTCGATTCTTCGATGGCGTAGACGATACTTTCGAAATCTTTTGTAAGAGATCTCAAAAATTTTCCCACAACTCGGCTAGATAGCATTTGTTCTCCATTCCTACCGAGTTGGTTGGCCATCTTCTCCACCCGAGTTATGTACTCGATTATATACTCTTTGGGCTCCATCTTCAACTGTTCAAACTCTCCTCTAAGAGATTGTATTCGGACTTGTCTAACGCGGTTGTCACATTTATACGGACCTCCAATATCTCCCAGGCTTCTTTTTTTGATTTGGCATTCGCTATTTTTTCGAATCCCGACTCATCTACTGCATTGTAGATAAAATACAATGATGACCCGTCTCTTGCACGAGTTTTCTTCAACGCTGTCATCTGTGCTACTGTCTGATGTTCATCCTCATCAGGTTCAACATACCCGTCTTGGGATCTCAATAACGCCTTCATCTGTAGGCCCCAATTATCATAATTGGTTTTTCTCGTCAATTGTGGCACACTCATACCATTGACAACCTTTGTCATCTCTCTTAAAAAAAATCAAGCACTCATTTTTTCTCTCGCAGTGTTTGACTCTCTCCTCTCTCTTTCTCTCTCGGTACTCAAAGCATAAAGCTCTGATACCACTGTTGGAAAAAACGTGACCCAAATAATAATACTCTTCAATTCACTGGAGTTACTTTTCATTGAACCTTGACAACCTTTACATAGGTGCAAATAGGGCCTTGAGCCAAATACAAATAAAAACTAACAATAGAATATCAACTAACTTAAAATAAAATCTACTTAATCTATCTCTATCTTATATCAATAAAATAAAATAATACTCTCCTAAATAAAAGGAAAATCAAAACTACCTATATCTATTTTATCTCTATCAAAATCAAACCAAATATTACTAAACCCAAAACTAATAAAATAAGATTTAAACAAAATTATTAATAAAACCCTAAAATTTAAGTTTATCCATAAGTAATTCAACTTGACTATAATTATCATCATTATTAGTTTAATAGGGACATGACTTGTTTTTGTTCAACTCTTGTAGCTTTTAAGATACTTATTACATAAGTCAACAAATTTACCATGGATAATTGTTTTTTATTACATGAGAATGTTAAAAAGTATATATATTATTTATTCTAGTATTAACGGAGTAATCTGGTAAGTAGAACATTTTCATTTGTTAGTTCTAAGTTAGTTTCTGTTCTGTGTTTCCAATTGCAGTCTAAGATTTTAATTAGTTATTACAACTTTCTTTTGCCGTTTATTATAAAATGAATAGGCATAAGTATTGTGTGTCTATGCAGGTATGAAACTGAGGTTATTGAGAAGATTGTGAAAGACACCTCAGCTAAACTGCCTCCCATGCCTTTACAAATCAAGCACCTAGTTGGACTTGATTCTCGTTTCGAACGGGTGAAATCTCTAATAGATGTTGAATCAAATGATGAAGTTTGTATACTGGGGATCTATGGGGTTGGCGGAATTGGCAAAACCACATTTGCTGTGGATCTGTATAACAAGATCAGGCATCATTTTGAAGCTGCAAGTTTTCTGGCTAATGTCAGAGAAAAAACAAATAAAAGCATTAAGGGCCTGGAAGATCTCCAAAGGACACTTTTGTCTGAGATGGGTGAAGAGACAGAAACCATTATTGGCAGTACATTTAAAGGAAGTTCTGAAATAAAGTGCAGGCTTGGACATAAAAGAGTTCTTCTGATTGTGGATGATGTTGATTCTGTAAAACAATTGGAAGCATTAGCTGGAGGATATGATTGGTTTGGTCCTGGTAGCAGGATCATTATAACAACAAGAGATAAAGATGTTCTACATAAGCATGATGTTGAAATTAAAGGATATAAAATGGAGGAGCTAAATTATCAGGAATCCCTTGAGCTCTTTTGTTGGTATGCCTTTAATAGGAGCAGAGCTGCAGAAAACTTTGCTAACATCTCTACTAGTGCAGTAAGATATGCAAAGGGTATTCCGTTGGCATTAAGAGTAATAGGCTCCAATTTGAAGGGTAGAGGTCCTGAAGAATGCGAGACTGAATTACAGAAATATAGAAAGGTTCCAGATTCAGAGATTCAAGGTGTACTGGAAATAAGCTACACAAGCCTATCCAACTTGGACCAGAAAATTTTCCTGGACATTGCATGTTTCTTCAAAGGGGAAAGGTGGGATTATGTCAAAAGGATACTAGATGCTTGTGATTTCAACCCGGATATAAAAGTATTTGTTAGTAAATGTCTCATAACTGTTGATGAAAACGGTTGCTTGGAAATGCATGATCTAATACAAGATATGGGTAGAGAGATTGTTCGGAAGGAATCCCCATCAAACCCTGGTTACCGCAGCAGATTATGGTGTCATAAAGATGTTCATGAAGTACTTAAAGAAAACTCAGTGAGAATCTTGACCATCTTATATTTTTAGTTACCTTTACATGTTTGTGTACTTTGGCAAATGTATTTTGTGTGTGTTTTTATCAGCTGCAAATGTATTTTATGTTAATTCTTTTCATTTACACGCATTTCCACAGGGAAGTGATACAGTTGAAGGAATAATGCTTTATCCCCCAAAACAAGAAAAAATAGATTATTGGACTATGACAGCCTTCAAGAAGATGAAGAACCTCAGAATTTTGATTGTTCGCAATGCAATATTTTCGTCTGGTCCTAGTTATCTGCCAAATAGTTTACGGCTAATCGATTGGAAGGGGTACCCATCAAAGTCTTTTCCGCCAGATTTTTATCCCCACAGAATTGTTGACTTCAAGTTACCTCATAGTTCTCTGATATTTAAAAAGCCATTTCAGGTACACACATTTGCTTTCTCCTTATATCCCCCCGAAGCATGTGGCAAAACTGTCATGATTTAAAGCCTAATGTAAGGACTATGCTCTAATCACTTTAGTTATACTTTGTTTCGCAGAGATTTGAGGATCTGACATTCATCAATCTTTCCCATTGTCAATTCATAACTCAAATTCCTGACCTGTCTGGAGCTAAAAGCTTGAAGGTATTTACACTTGATAAATGCTATAGACTGACAAGGTTCGATAAATCCATTGGGTTTATGCCTAACCTTGTGTACTTAAGTGCTTCAGAGTGCACTCTGCTCACAAGTTTTGTGCCAACGATGTATTTGCCCTCTCTCGAAGTGCTTTCATTTAACTTTTGCAGAAGACTTGAACACTTCCCTCATGTAATGCAAAAAATGGATAAGCCATTAAAGATATACATGATGAGTACTGCCATTAAAAAGATTCCGGAATCCATTGGTAACCTTACTGGACTTGAGCATATAGACATGTCAGTTTGCAAAGAGCTTAAAAATCTGCCAAGTAGCTTCTTTTTGCTCCCAAAACTTGTCACTTTAAAAGTTGATGAATGCTCTCAACTTGGAGAATCATTTCAAAGGTTCCAAAAGAGCCGCCATTCCGTGGTAAATGGCAGTTCAAATTTAGTGACACTTCATTTTTGTGAGACTAATCCATCATATGAAGATCTTTGTGCCATTCTTGAAACTTTTCCAAAATTAGAAGACTTAAATGTATCACACAACGGATTTGTAGCCCTACCAAACATCATCGGAGGATCTTCTCACTTGAAAAGTTTGGATGTTAGTTTCTGCAGGAATCTTAAGGAAATTCCAGAACTTCCCTTAAGTATTCAGAAAGTAGATGCAAGATACTGTCAGTCCTTGACTTCAGAGGCATCAAGCATGCTATGGTCTAAGGTTTAATTACATTCACCGTACCATTATTCTTATGACGCAAGA